TGATGGTTTAGAGATCACACATTTTCTTAGACCCAGTTCTTGAATCATGATCCCTTGGGTCTGGAAGAAAGCTATAATTTTCAGAAGGCTTACTTCTATAAAAACTTATGGTTATGGAGAAAAATCAACATTCGTAGGTAATGAATCAGAGTCCAAAAATCTGTTTGGATATTTAGTGTCTCATAAAATGTAACATAGGAAGAGACTTGTGGAGTATCAGAGCTGCAAAAGATCATGAAGACATGTGGTCCAACACTTCTTTTTAATGATGAAGCTACTGAGCCCAGGGAGGTTGAATGATTCCTCCAGGTTACGTGGCTACAAGGAGAGGCAGAAAAACTGGACTAGAAGAGACCTCTTAACTCCCAAGCCAGTATATTTTCAACATTATTACACATTACTAATCATATGGAAACATTTGAGCCAAAGTATGAACCACGTATCATAAATGAGAGAATCTTAGCCATAGAAGAGACCTTGGAGGTCATCTGGTGCCATCTCCCTCCTGATGCAGGAACCCTTCTGGTGACATCCCTGATTGATGGCCACTAGTCCTGCCAGGAAGCTCAGAACTTTACAAGGCAGCTTGTTTTGTCTTTGTGTATCTCCAGATATTAGTACATTTAGCCTGGCCGAAGGTTAAATGTGTATCTTCAAAGCATCAGCCCCTAACCAGTGAGGGTGGTCACAGGTGAGTGGCATGGTATTGGTGATGGTGAAAAGTTTTACTTTTTTTCTTATCTTAAGAAATGAGGACAGGCTGGGCTCAGTGGCTCATGCCTGTAATCCTAGCACTCTGGGAGGCTGAGGTGGGCAGATCGTTTGAGCTCAGGAGTTTGAGACCAGCCTGAGCAAGAGCGAGACCCTGTCTCTATTAAAAAAATAGAAAATTAGCTGGACAACTAAAAATATATATATAAAAAAAAAAAATTAGTCGGGCATGGTGGTGCATGCCTGTAGTCCCAGCTACTCGGGAGGCTGAGACAGAAGGATCGCTTGAGCCCAGGAATTTGAGGTTGCTGTGAGCTAGGCTGATGCCACGGCACTCTAGCCTGGGCAACACAGTGAGACTCTGTCTCAAAAAAAAAAAAAAAAAAGAAATGAGAACAATAATGCCTACCTCGTAGAATCATTGTAAAGATTAGACATGAGGTTTATAAGCATCTACCATAGTGTCTGCTTCAACATAGGTACTCAAATTGTAGTTATTATTGACTTTTATCATCATGATTCCATTTTTTGAAATTATGCCCTCTGGAGCAACACAGACTATGTCTAATCCTGCAAATATTTGAAGGCAGTTAGCATGACCCTCTAAGTCTTCTCTTCTTCAGACTAAATATTCCCTGATTCTTCCACCATTCTTTCTGTGGTGCATTTTGGATGCCTTCATTGCTTTCATTCCCTCTCATTTATCGATTTCCCCCTTAAAATGTGGCGGCCAAATGTGGTCAGCCCAACATACTCTACAGTGGAATAATTACTTCTCTTGATCTGGACATTTCACTTCTCCTAAAACAACCTAGATTTATGTTAGCATTTTTGGAGGCCAGATCACAGGGTTGGCTCAAGTAAAGCCTGATCCTGCTATCCAGAACATTAGCTCTGCCTCCCAACTTTGTGTCAACTACAGAGTTGACAAGCACAATTTTCACATCTTTATCCAAGCTGTTGATAAAAATGTTGAACAAGAAAAGGCCAAAGGTTGAGCTTCGAGGAACACCTCTGATCCTTCCCTGCCTATTGACATCTCTGCAGTGGTTTGGTGACATTGTTTCACTGGCTTCAAATCTACTCACTTGGACTATCAAAAATAACTCAGCAAGATAGAGCTACTCTTTGTGTTTTTGAAATTGGTGACTTAATTTACCCAGAGGTAAAATGCCACACTTTTATCAGTGAAGACAGGTTTTGAACCCATAATTGGGACAATGTGAACTCAGAAAATAATTTCATGTTTGAGTTACTATGTAATGCTTAAAGAAAAAAAAAATCACTTTCTCTTAATGTGAAATGATAATGCTTTTGCTGGGTTGTTTATTTTTCCAAAATGTTTTGAAATTACTCTCTGGATCTGAGGGAAGAAGGCTAGAGAATTTACAGATTTTATATGTAGGGGAGAGAGGAGATTATTGAAGAGTTAGAATGTGACTTTCAGGAGCCTTTTCTGTCTCTGGTAGAGATCACAGAGAAGAAGAGATGTCTTTAAAGCATTGATGGGGAAGAGTGGGAGATACATTCCTAGATAGTAATTTTTATTCTTTTTGATGATTCTCAGAAAAGATTTTTAAGCTTTTTGTGGGGGGAGGTTGGAGATTACTTCTTTCTCTTATTAAAGATACTTGACTCTGAAGCAATCAAACCAAGTTCTTTGTGCTACAGCACAAATCAGTTTTTCTTGGTTTTTACAGTAGATGTAAAGAATGGTTGTCACCATCATTTGAGCCAAAGTGCTTGAAGATTGGAGGCTCAACTCTCAGCATCTTTCTTCAACGACTTCTTTAATATTTTTTTCAAAGGTTTTGCTGTTCAGTATACATACCATGTTTGTGGTTTTCTTCTTAATTCTGATACTTTCTATTTCTCTAGCTCATATTTGAACAAGTACCTTAATGTCTAAAACTCTATTATGGTGAGCATACTTTCGGATTGCAAGGTGAACAGGCAGGACATTAGCACTCTCAAAAACTGACCAGGAAATAAAAGATAATATTTCCTCATACCGAATATTCTAGGAATGGTATCTTAAGAGTTCACACATTCACTCCATATTTATTGAGCACCTATGATATGCCAGGCACTGACATAAGCAACAGAGACACAATGGGGAGTAAAATCAGATTTAGTTCCTTCTCTCATTGGGTGTACAGTCCGGGGGAGAAAAAGCTATTAATACAATAATCAAAAATAATTGTAAACTTGTTAAAAGTACTATAAAGGAAAAGGAGATGGTGCCCATCACTGTAGGAGGAGGCAGAGGAGGCTTCTCCATGTGACTGGACCACTGTCTAGTCCAGGAAAGGAAATGATGGTAGTTGGGATGTAGGTTGATAGAAGGAGGGATGGAAAGATAGAAAGAGATGAGAGATGCTTAGGTTAAATTTGAAGGACTTGGGGACTACATATGGGGGTGATAGAGAAGAGATGCCCAGTATAATTCAAGGAGGGTTCATACATTTGTATTCTTCATTGTAAATTTAAAGAATATGATCTTGAAAATTAAATCGTATAACTGTACTGAAAATCTCTGGTAGCACAGCACAGTGGAAATAATTCTAAAAAGAGAAAAAAAATCATTCATTGCCTTGGATCTATTATTGACAGAGTGGATGACTCTAAGTAAGATGAACAACTTTGAGTGTCTTTAAGGACTTAAACAATGGAAAAAATTATACCTGTAATTACTTACCTAATTAAGACCCAGAGAAATAAGTTTTTCGAGGTTCACTTTCAAAAGAGATAACACAAGTATCTTTATTTTCGTTATCTTTGTACAATTTTATTTTAGTACAATTGTCTAAATCTCTAGATCCTATAAAAAGAACTAAAGTATATTCCTGCCCTGCCACCCCAATGCAAATCACCATTTCCTTTCATCTTACTCTACCCAACCACGCCAGGAAACCTTTCCAGTGTATAAGAGGAACCTTTGGACTGTGTGCGCATATAAGCCCGTCATGCCTTTGGGATCTCACGGCAACACAGTCGGCTCACAGTCTAAGCCAGGTGTCCAGTTTCCATCTGGGCTCCTGACAGACTGTGTGGTCAGGATTTAGAAATCAGAAACTTGGGAAAGGTGCAATGTGATGGACACAGCCACCCCAAATACCATATATGTTATCACCATCATTTAGCACATGGTGCAGGAAATCCTGTTCTTTGCAGAAGAACTTCAAAGAACAACTTCTAGTTCTCTTGGGTACCATTTATTTTTCCTTTGCTAACACCAAAGCGCAGACAGATATATATTTTTTCTCTAGTAAATTGCTAGTGACACACCATTTTCCCCCCATCCTCAGCCTATTGTCCAGCTGACCTCTGGAATTTCCCCACCCTTCTAGGCTGAAGAGCTGCACCTAGCTATTCACAGGGACCTCCTTACTGCCCTTGCCTATTAGTTCATGTGGCTCTGCATTTTCGCTTTCTTTCCTGGTTTCTCAATTTCTTCTTCTCTTCCAGCCCCGCTGTGTTGACCAGCCCTCTCTGGCTTAGTGCGAATTTCCTCTGGTTTTCCAAGCGACTTTCTTTTCTATGAATAGCTGTCTTTTAAACCCATTTTATCTTACATATTTTACCTTTTTTTTTTGAATTTTAAACAAAGAAGCATCCATTCGAGTCATCAGAAATAAATACATGACATTAAGTCCCTAAGTGACTCAGATGTCTCATTTGTCTCCTCATTAATTTATTCATGCTATTAATGTGTGGTTATTGAATGGCTACTGTGGTCTGAGCCCTGCAAGATAGACTCATGAACACAAACATTCTGTATTCTAGAGGAAAAGACAGCCAACAAGTGAACAGGTCCTCAATCATTGTTCCATATTCCACTATTCCACGTGGCTGGCCACTCTTGTAGGATTGAAAATAAAAAATAACCCAGTGTGCTTGTCATGCAAGAAGGATGCAGAACAGCTATCCACTAAATCACGGTGTTATGTGCTTACCATAGAAATCATTTTCAAACTCGGTGTATATCCCACCAAGTCAGAGGAGATATGCACTAAACATCCCTGTTGCAAACCTCACATCAGGATGGCAGCAGAGCGATAAGTAAACTTCAAGATATTGTCCCGTGTGCTTTCCTGTAAGGGTGGGTAGTTATTTTTCATCTCTTCTTAGCTGTGAGTTATAACAAGATGAATGGGCCCATGGCTTGCCAGAAGCCATAACTCTATTTAGTTGACAAGACCAGATTCCCAATTTTTGCCTTTGAGAGCTTGAGAGTAGAATAAAACATTGACTCCCTCTGACCTTTCTCCTCTGTCTTCTCTGGGCAGAATATCTCGATGCATAATGCAGTTGGTGGGGCCCTGGCGGGGCCTGGAGCTCACCAGCTCGGCAGTGCCCGGCTGCCCAACCACGACACCAGCGTCGTGATTCAGCAAGCCATGCCGTCGCCACAGTCCAGCTCTGTCATCACTCAGGCACCTTCCACCAACCGCCAGATCGGGTAAGGAGCCCTACTCGGCTGCCTCTGGGTCAGACGGAGCTCAGGGAATGTTCTGGACTTTCTCCTTGTTTCTGGTGTGCAGATTGGTTGGTTTTCCTGGCTGGTGTGATATTGTCTAGAGCTTTAGAGTGATGGTTTTGATGGGAGAAGGGAGAGGGAGTCTCTGTTTGGTGAAAGCTGTTTCGATCCTGGACTTTGCGTGGGGAGTCGTGTGGGGAAACAAGTCATTCTGTGTCATGGTTTCTTCAAACAAGATTTGTGAACTTTAAGATGACTGTGGAAAAATCTACGAGTGTTATGGTGACCAGAGTGTCTTCTGTGTACAGTAGTCCCCCCTTGTCTACAGGGGATCCGTTCCAAGACCCCCAATGGATGCCTGAAATCATGGATAGTACCAAACCCTATATATACTATGTTTTTTCCATCTGATGACTGAGATAGCTACTAAGTGACCACTGGGCAGGGAGCATATACATTGTGGACGTGCCGGACAGAAGGCTGATTCGCATCTTGTGGGGGATGGATCTGCATGGTGCAAAACTTCATCACACTACTCAAAACAGCATGCAATTTTAAAACTCATGAATTTTTTATTTCTGGAATTTTCCAGAACAAAAATATTAAATATTTTAACATTTTTGGACCTTGGTTAGTTGAAACTGTAGAAAGCAAAACTGCAGATAAGGGGGCTCTATTGTATTTCCACAGTTCTCCTTCCCTCTGGTCATTCTTCCCTTCTCCTCTTCCTTGCTAATGCTGCCTATTAGCTCTCCCCTCCCTCTGCATTGGCCCATACTCATTCCTGGAGTAAACAAAACAAAGAAAGCAGCCCTCTCTTCTCATTTATGCAAATAGACAATACTGAAGCATTGGGGGAAATTGGTAGAAAGATCCTGTATTGACTCCCAGCCACCCATACCATGGGATAGAAAGAGCTCTCACTTCCTGGCATCATGTGATCGCTCTAGCCCCTTGCTTTGCAGAGTATGATCTGAGGATCAGCAACGTGGGCATTATCTGGAAGCTTCTTAGAAATGCAGAATCTCTGGCCCAGCTTCCTTTTCCCCAGAATGAGGATGGTGTCTGTTCTTTCCTACCTCACAAGAGTAAAGATGCGATAAAAGATTTAAGAGCACTTGGGTTCTTAGCAAGAAAAGGTAGTAACTTAAGCCAAAGAGCCATGATAAATTTATATTGATGGTTGCTGGGAGCTGGTTGCTCTATGTTCCCAGAATTCTTCATTTGAAATAAGAAGGGAGCTCACTGTGTTTGGGACATGCATCAGAATTCAGTTTGGATTTTCAGTTGAATATTAGACATGGTAGTTTTAAAAAAACTTAGAAGCTGCCCTACAATTTGTCAGTACATTATTTCCCCCTTGTTTTTAATATTGTAAGAATCCCAGAGCAACAGTGAGCGCTGAGGACAACACTAGTTTATTCCTCCTTAGAATGATCCAGAAGGGACACCTTGTCTCTCACATTTCTCAACTTATCCTGTTGTGACACGTAAAGACCCACCTTAAGAAATGACAGAAGCAGGTGACAGAAGCAGGTAATGACCATTTTGTGAGTTTGCCATGGGTACATTTGGTTTCCCATTCAAGAAATAAAAAACAAATCTGGCCATTTGAATGTTGGGCTTTGTTTAAAGAAGCCAATGCTAAATTAGCAAGTGTATCTGTTAAAGATTTCTTTTCTTCTCAAACGACTATGAGAGCAAATGTTGCCACCATCTAAATCAAGAACCCATAATATGCTAAGAGGGTGGGGTGGATTCATTAAAGACAGCATCTAAATCTCAAAGGACTTCTTCACTCTAGTGGCTTGGCTTTAGGCAGACAATTCACAGTTAGGCCACCTAATTATAATTATTTTATTTTTCTTTCAAGGGGAAAAAACATAAAATGTGCTAAAGTTTACTAGCAGTTTTACAGCATTCCTTCTCCCCTGGAGTTCTCCTGCCTCCCTCTTCCCCCCACCCCCCACCAACTACCCTCTGGGAGGCCCTAGTGTTCAGCCATTGTTAGTACAAAGCTGGTCTTTATGAAACAGTCTTTTAAGGGTTAGCACTAAATTTTAAGATGAGTGCTGACTCTGTCAATAATTTACCCAGCTGGCCTGGGACTGTACATGTGGGTGACACTGGTAGGCTGTGTCACATGCCTAGATGGATGGGGGTGTTTCTGTGGTGTAGATACCCTCCCCAAAACCCCCAACCTCCCATTTTTCCTTGCTCCTGGGGTGTTGTATGTCTCTCCCGGGGTGTTCTAGGAGATAATTGTCACTTTTAGGACTCTGTCTCATTGCCAAGCTCGAGGGGAGGCTATTTCTTTTCTTGAGATTCTTCCCTGTCGTGCTTACCATGTTGATTCAAAACCACACTTCCTGTCATTTCCATTTTTCTCCACGTGACCCATCCAAAATCTTGCCCAGATGATCTCGGGGGCTCAGCAAGAAACAACCCAACCCATCTCACCAGTGGATTCAGTATGAAACTCTAGGTGGTAACATTTGGGGATGGTTGACTCTTATTTCTCTCAGGAAAGAGGAAATGAGTACTTATTTTAAAACATGAGTTCCCTCTGGAGACTGTGTCTTTAAATGAGCATTTGAAATTGCAGATAGCTTTTTTTTTTCTACTTTATTTTATTTTTTTGAGGCTGCACAGAACCATATTGTAGTAATATTCTGATTTTTATCACAACCTCAAATATTTAAGTGTCAAAATCTGGCCAAGCCACCTGCAAATGTTTGCCATGGCTACCGGCCAACAAAAACAGCAAACAGCAATGAAAGTCTTCATTCAGGCTCAGTGCTTAAGCTGCATCCAGCCAGAGAGGCTGGGACCCACCTGTGCCCATGCACAGTGCTCTTGTGCCGTGGCCAGGGGGTGTGTTCACGATTGGGGCTTTGTGGGAGAGGGGGCCGCCTGGCTCCTGTCCCTGCTCTTCCCTTTGCTCTACCAGTGCTTGGCTTCTGCAGACAGCCCCATGTTTGCTCTCTTTTCTGTCTCCCTCCTTTCACACTGTAAAATTTAAGCTTAGAGACTTGAATGTATCGGGAGTGGTATTGACATAAAGGACTAGAAAATGGGAGGGCGCCAGTTGGGAAGGCTTTGGGGACAAAGGGTAGGCATCCTTGTAAGCATTCGATTTTCATGGTTTTTGAGCAGGCACCAAGCCAAAGCAGACCAAAATGAGTGGAAATGCAAAAATCCAAAGAAATAACATGAAAAGTAGATAGACAAGCAGCGTGCAACTTCCATTCCATACCATAGTGACCTGTAGCATGCCCTGTGCCCAATTCTGTAAAAGTGGTGCGATTATCTCTATAGAAACTGGAGCTATGTATAAATATCCCAAATTGCTCGTGTGTGGTTAGTCAGGCTAGAAAAACACACAGCTCTAGAGAGTGTGGGAGGCATCCCCAAACTAGTGACTACTTGCGCTTCATCAAACTGGCAGACACCCTGTCGGGAAGAGTGTCTTTGGCTGATTGATGGTAGCATTTTAGGAGATAAGTTTCCCAGATGCAAAAAAGAGTGAGCCATGGGCTGTGGGGAAGACAAGTGAGACAGAAAACAAGCATGTATTAAATAGAGATGAAATCGATTCCTCCTTGAACCAAGTATGTGGCAGAATCCAAACAGTATCTGTACTCCAGTCATTTTTATTAGATATCACGTAACAGGCTCATTAATTCAGGATCAAGTCCGAAAAGCCTGGGAAAAATAGTGGTTGAGTAGGTAGCAGTGGTATAAGTTTGCTCTCTGTCTCTTGGTCTCTTATCTCATGAGACATTTTTGTAGGAGCCAATGATCAGTTGAGTAGGTGGCTGTGGTCTTAACAGATCCCAGGTTTCCCAAAGAAGTTGATTTCTCTTTATGGGGTAAGTGATAGTAGATAATTCATGCTCCGTGATTCTTCAGGAGAGCAATGAAGGTAATATGGAGTGCAGAGTTCTACAAGAATGGATGTCAGTACAGAGTTCTGACAGGTTATGGGAGACGCTGCCAAAATAGTCTACCAATTTTCTTCTTGCTGTTCAATTCTTTGTAGGGGATTGGGCATATGCTCGTTAGATTATTGGTGAGAATTATTTGACAGTAATTGTTTACAGTGGAAGTGTTGTACGTCCAACATCAGAATATACAATGTGGAGTATTCTGGTTGAGATAATGAATTGGCCAGCTGTATCAGGAAACTTGGAAACGTGTTCAACAGAATTCATATATGAAGGCATTTATGTATGAAACCCCTCCCTGATTTTATACCAATTTTAGTCCTGGCATGCATATTTCCATATGATATGTAGCTATTAGGCATTTGTTCACAAACCCTATTTGCATGGGGCTGTAGCTAGGCAGTTGAGATCGAATTACTTAGCCAGAAGTTTATATAAAATACTGTAGAAGAAAATCTTGTGTTATGTAAAAATAAAAAGGTGCCAAAACTCATCATAAATTGTACCTCCTCTCCCACTTCCTGTGCTTGTTTATCCTTTTTCCGTTTGCAATCCCTGACACTGTGTGTCAGGCAGAATATCAGATGTAGCTCAATGGGTATGACCAAGCAGAACAAACAAGCAAACAAAAATCATGATAATTAAAAGAAAAGCTGATTACGTCTCAGAACTTGTCAATGTCAGAAGGGATGCTACTTTATCAGGGAGTGTCATGTGGCTTTGTTGTGTGAGTTGAATGTTGCTGCCCAATGTTCCATCAAGATGGGACTTTTAATAAATTTGACAATTAATTTGTTAATAAATTGTATCATTGCTCTGGGGGAAAAAAAAGGAGAGAAGTTGGGAAATGATGCCATCGCAGAGAGCCATTGTTTAAAGAAGACCTAAATAACAAAGCCGCTTACAGTTTAAGAATGTACTTGCTCTGTAAATGTGTATGTGCATGAATCCATGGGTAAGAGCTTTCTTAAACTTCTCAAACCAAACCGAGCGTGACTAAGACTGTCACGTCCACCACAGGCTAATGCTGGGGAC